AAACAGACTTAGAAAATAAAAGAGTTATATTGTATGGATGTAAAGATTATAGAGACTTATCACAATGGAATTCTTCTTATGAAGAAATAAAAAAAGACCTTCCTGAAATTTTATTTATTTCAGTTCATACTGAAGAATATACCCCTAAAGATGATATGTCAATATTTAAATCTATTGCATCAGACTTAAGAAGTCTTACTCTTATAAAAAATGAACAGATGTATCATACTAAAATTGTTCATCTTATTGATTCTGGGTTTATTCAAGAATGTAATTTGGAAGCTTATCGAAACTTAACTTCTACATATATTTCTTCAATAACAGAATAATCAATTTTCTACCTTTTTTTAATTTAAATCTTTGAACATTTAATTATGTTTGAATATATAAAATAAACACTTCAAAGAATGTTTAATAAAAATACTTAATTATTTCACTTTTTTTTAGTCTCAACCCAATCATAACACCAATCACCTTTTATTTCTCTTCCAAAAAGTTCATCCGTATCCAGGAATGGTTTCCAACACGAATCAAAGTCATCAACCTCATATTGAACTTGGAATGGCGATTTTTCTAATGGACAATTAAATTCTTTTTGGTTTTCAACGTTGTATTGAACAAACTTATGTCCTTTCAATTCAAATAAAGCTTTTTTCAAGTAAAAGTGATGAATTAGCATATTCCAAACTTTAGATGTGACTAATGTTGGAATATTACCAATAATAATTAATCCACGTTTAGCTCTTGTTAATGCAACATTTAGTCTTTTATAATCATTCACAAATCCAACACCAAGAGTTTGGTTTGACCTAACACAAGAAAAGATAATATATTCTTTTTCATTTCCTTGAAATCCATCAATATTAGCAACTTTAATCTTTGTAGAAACATACTGAGAAATAAGTTCTTGTTGAGCTTGATATGGTGAAATAATTCCTATTTCATTTTCTTTAATCTTGTTCTTCAAAAATTTCTCAACAACCTCTTGTATTATTTGAACTTCTCCTGCATTATTATAACTTGTTCCACTACTTCCATATTGCTCTGTTCCATCACAGTTAATAAACATTATAGGATTTGTGTAGTCTGGGAAGAAGTTAATAATCCTATTATCAAATCTATCTTTACTACTCACTCCATTCTCTAATTTAGAAGAATAAAACATTTTATTTGAGAATTCTGAAATTGCTGGATGCATTCTGTATTGTGTTTTTAACATTGTTCTTTTGATTTGTGTATTTGCCATAAATCGTTCAAACATTGATTTTTGGAATCCTGCTTCTCTAGCTTCAGTTGAAAGACATGTTGGTTGTAATTGTTGAATATCTCCAATTAACACAGCTTTTCTAACATTAATAATTCCAGCCAATGTCTCTGGTTCAAGAGACTGAGCAGCTTCATCAACAATAGATGCAAAAAATTTTTGTTTTAGCATTATTGAACTAGTACAAAGACTGAGTGTAGAACAAACACATCTTATTCCAGATAATATGTCATCAAAATATGTTGAGATGAATTTATTAATATATCTATTTTCTTCTACTGTTATTCTTTGAGAAACTCTATCAAAAATTTTTTGTATTTCTGAATTAGTTTGTTTGACAAAATTTTCAAATGTTTCATATTTCATCTGATTAATTGGTGTTGATAGATATGTTTCATAACATTTTTGTTTTTCTCTATTTTCATCTTCTGTTAGATATTGTCCATACTTTTTCTTTAGTAATTCTCTTATATTGACTGTTATTGATTCTTCTAATTCATCGTCAAATTCAACACCAAATTCAACATTATCACCTAAACCATTACCTGTTTTTTCACTTTGTATTTGTTTCTCCAGTCGTTGTTGTTTTAAAGCTGGGTCAATAATAATAATTTGACCAGATTGTGTTATTGCCACTTCATTAAATCCTTTTTTCTCTGTAAATTCTATTGCTTTTTTTAATAATGAATTTTCTCTTATTTTATCACTACAATTTTCAAACTGTTCATCTGCAACTACTCTAACTGTTGGAATATCCTTTTCAATAAGTTTTGAGCAAATCACATCAACAGCATTATTGCTTGATGCACAAACTAATAATTTTTTTTCACCTCGATTTATATTATAAAATCTATATTTGTTATAAATCAAGTATTGTGCAATTGATACAGCAACTGTAGTTTTACCAGTTCCAGGTGGTCCTATTACAAGTGAAATATCTTCGTTTAACGCATTATAAATTGCTTTCCTTTGATAATCGTTCAAATTAGATAAATTAGGAATATTGTATTTCTCTGCTGACATTTCTTCATAAGTTATTATTTCTTTTGTTTTTGTTAATTGGATCTTGTTACAACACATTATTTTTGAATAATATCCATCAATTTCTCGTGATTGTAATACATCTAATGTTCTAATGAATGGATTTCCTTTATCATTAGTAAGAAAATATATCCTAAATAACGATGTGTTTTTCACTATTTCTTCATTGTATTTCCATTTTTCCTCATTTGTTGGATATTTCATGGTAATTTTACCTGTCTTATAATCTGTAGATTCTATTCCAAAAAGAAAATCTTGTAGGCTAACAACAACTGTTTTACCTCTACTTGATGTAATATTTCCTCCAAACACACATTCTGATGACTTGAAAATTGAAGATGGAAATAGCTTAATTTCTGTTGAATTTGTATCATTAACCATTCCTTTTAATCCACCACAACTAATAATCACAATATCTTCTAACTGAAGACCTCCAATAGCTTTAGGAAGGTTAATTTCAACAGTTGTAAATCCAGGTTGTTTAATAAATTTAATACGTTGTTTTTCTTGTCTTAATTCAACTTCAACTACATTACGTTCTTCTTTCTTTTCAATTTTAGAGAGATATAAGTAAGTCTGAACATAATCATCAAGTGTTGGATATTCATTTTTAACTCTTTTTTCTGTTTTTTCTTTTGGGAATTGAGCCTCATTATTGTCAACTAAGTCTTGTTTAACACAAGAAACAGATTTACCAACATCATAGTTATCTATTATAACAGCACCTTCATTAACAATATTCTTACTATATAATCGTTTGTTTATTTTACTCTGACTTTTTAAATAATGAGAATATAAGAAGTCTTTTGAATTGTATTTATAATGAAGATTGTATATATTTGTTTTTCTACGATATTCACAATGTTTTTCTTCCATTGATATGTTTTAATGTATTAAGATTGTGTTTATATATCAGATAATTTTTTGCATCATTCTATTAAAATAACTGTATTATTTACATCATACCTATTTTTATTTAAGAAAAGTATTTTATTAATATTTGGAATATTGTATATAGTTTCTATTATCCTGTCACAATTAATAAGAATAATATTGGTATAATTTTTAAATTCAGAGTTACTATTTAAGAATAGAAATGAAAAATTTTGAATTTCTTATGTTATTTTTTACATTATTATTTAGTTTATTAAATATCGCAAATAATGTCTCACCAAAATCTATTTGTTAACTTTGTGAAACAAAGAAACAATAACTTATTCTTTTTTAAGAACAACAGAGTAAAAAGTATTTCTTATAATTATTTTTATAATTAATTTCAAATTAAAAAATTTTATATTAATAAGAGAATTAAATCACAACATTTCCAAATAAAAACAATTATTTATAAAATGTTTATTAGACTTAATAATTTGATTTTATAATTATTTCAAATTTACTCCATTTATCAAGTACATTCAAATTCTAAGACACATTTATTTTTAATATATTCATAATATATTATACATATCTTAACACTTTCTCTTATACTATAATATTTAAAAATAGTAATGGTTGTTTGTTTCATATTTGTATTATGTTTTTATTGTTTAATTTGATTTTATTTAAATACATTTATTATGCAAATGTGTTAATTTTATTCTGCCACCATTATTTTACTTATATATCATGTTTATTCTATTTCTTTGTATCAATTCATTAATTATCCATTCAAATACTTTTTTTACATCATGTTTTCTTTCATTTAATTCTATTAGTTCAATTAATTCATTAAAATTAATCTTCTTATAAAATACTTTATTCATTCTTTTAATTATTCAATTTGAATTTTCTTTTATTGTTTCTATCATTTCTCATATTCCTGTGTCTGATATTTATATTTTAAATATATTCTTAATAATTCTTTACCACATTCATCTCTTGCTGACATTATTCACATTCATATTTCATTTATTTTTACATGTAATTAATTTCTATTAATATCAATTATATTCAATCCTCTTCTTCACATTTTATATCATTTAAAACTGAAATAATATGTAGAATTTTTAATTCTTTTTTAAGGAATTAATAATATTTACATTGTCTGGATATTTTTGTTTATCTGTATTTGTATTTTTGTTATAAAATAGTAACTCTCCTTAATGATGATGTTTATACTCCTTATTCTTCGTCTTTTTTTTTCATTTTTATATTTCTCATTGAATATTAATTTAACTTCTTTATTATTCTTGTCAATGCTAACTTTACATTTCTATTTTTTTCTTCTTATCTTCTTCATATTCAATTATAAATATTATTTATTTTTGATAATATGAAATACTTATTAACAATAATTCTATCAAATACTTATAAAGACGAAACTGATTGAAATAATTGTATTAATTAAATTATTTTGGTAGTATTTCATTATAATTTTTTTTATTATAAAATATTCAATTATTTATAATCAACGCAACACTATTTTCATTCATTTTAAGATTGTTAATATTGGATAGTTAGTATTAATCAATTTTTCCATTAGAGATAGATAATAAAGGATTTTTTATCTCCTGTTGAATTGTTTATTTATAATTGAAATAACTATAAAAAATTAAAAAATAAAAAAGAATAAATTCTTCATTAGTGCAATATTAAAATAAAATTTTTGGTTTTTTTCTTCATTGTTTCACAATTTTTAGGATATTAATGGAAAGACTTATTTTGAAAGTACTAATATCTTTAAAATAATCATATTATGAATTTAAGCAAGATTGACTTAACTCTATCAACTGTGAAACCTTATTATTTGTATTACCTTCGTGTGCGAGTTGAAATAACCTCAGTGATGCAATATTATAAATTTTCTGCAACTGTTAGAACTTATGCTGATGGAATTATCCTTGCTTCATTGGTAGGAACAATACCAATAGTGTATCGAGGTAGTCAATTTTGTTTACCATTATGTATTATGTATCCGTATGATTATCCACTTTCTCCACCTCTCTTTTTTACTGACCCAACACCAGAAATGGAAGTTGTTCCAGGACATCCATATGCAATGCCAAACATTGTTATTTGTCATCCAATTCTTGATAGATGGTCAGAAAATGTAAATACTCTGAGCGTTTTGCAAGTGTTTGTGAAAGACTTTTCTTATATGCCTCCTTTAAGGATGAAAACATCTGTTATACCTTCGTATTCATGTTATTTCCCAGAGTGGTCATCTTATTATTCATATCCTCAAAACTATAACCAACCAATTCCTTTAAACCATTCTCATCAACTACCATCAATATCATCTATTTATGCAACAGAAAGTAATCCTTCTATTCCACCACCTCAAAGCCAACAATTACCTTCATTTCAAAATACTATGGATACTCTTTTTACAATTGATGGGTTTGCACCATTCAAAACAAAAGAGAATGAATGTTCTCAATCACCTTCTCATAAGAAATTATTTACAAAGTCAAGTGGACCAATGATTACCGATTTAAAAGCATTTGTACTTGGAAAACAACAGCACATGAAAAGAAGTTTACCGACTATATCACAAACGAAAAAATATAAAACTCGAACAACACTTACTCCATTAAACACAAAATAATATAAAAAGTATTGTTTCAATTGTTAATTCGTTATTAGTAATTTAATGTTTACTGTTTTTGTTTCTTCACTTTTCTTCATTCGATATTAAATATTTTCATATTTAATTTTGTTTACTTGAAAACAGTCATTAATTGATTAATAAAATCATCAACTTTTACAACACCTTGTTCATCTATACCCATAAATGTAAACAAATCAGTAATTTCTTTTTGTTCCATATTATCTCCAATAGTAGAAAGTATTCGTCTCAATTCAATTGCAGGAATAAAACCTTTTTTGTCTTTGTCTAAAACATTAATTGCAGTTTTAATTTCATCTTTATTAAATGACTTTGTTTTTAATTGAGAAAAACAAGAAGTAAATAATTCATAACTCATTCCTCGTACTTTAGAATTAGAATTATATGTACTTGCAATAGCAGATGTTTCCATTACAACTCCTAATACCCTAACTAATGACTCAAATTCATTTAATGTCAAATACCCATCTCCATCTCCATCAAATAATAAAAATGATTCTTTCAAGTCTTCATTGTGTTTTTGCATTATTTAAATTATTAAGTTCTTTTTTTTTCTTTTATTCCTTCACTCCAAAGTTATTTCCAAAAAAACAGTCTTTAATTAAACATTGTATTGTTGATATTTATTTCTATACACTCTTTTTGTTTACCACATATTCTTTAGTTTCTTGAAATGAAATAAACTATCTTAAAGCATTAAAATAATAATAAAAGTTAGATGAATTGGATGAGAGTATTAGTGATACTTACTGCATTATATCTACATATGGTTATTATAAATTCACCAAATTCTATTCAAAAAGGTTTTTGTGAAAATTACACATAAATTAATGAATGGTTCATAAGACTCGTTTGTATTACTAATAACTCATTAAAAAATATGAAATTCAGTGCAAAACTAAAATTTTATTGTGAACCTCATCTAAAAAATTTCTAATGACTACTTCTCTTATTGACACTTTGTTCTGTGTTATTTGTGGATGTCCTTTATTGCTTGATGAAGATATTCGATCAATGACAGTACAATCTGGATCACCTATGTCATCTCCATTTCACTCTCCTCGAGAAAACCATACTAGAACATCAACAGGATCACCTCATCAACCCAATTGTCCAATGGCATTATCTACACCACTCCCATTACCTTCAAACCCATTAACAGCAAACCCAAGTTCAAGTGCATTAGAAGAACATGAATTATCATTATCACCACCCGAAGTACTATTTTCATCACCAAAACAAAATTACCAATCAATAAGTCAACAATCACGTTTGTTTTCTATTCACGTTTAACTAATATTCTTTAAATCCAAAAGAATAGATTAGAAGAAAGAATATTTATCCATTAGGAAAAAATTCATATAAACTCTCATTTTATATGAAAAGAAGAAGTAAATCTAACAAAGGAACTTCTTCAATGATTATTGCTACACCTACACTTGAATTTTATCAATGGTTTGCATCAATGGTAGAACAATTTTCTGACTTTGGTATTCCTTGTAAAACATGTTTTAATAAAATTAAAGAAAAATATGTTATGAATAAAGATGAATTAAACCAATATATTGAAATGTATCAAATAAGTGCTTGTACTTTATTCCAAAACATTGGTTGTATTGATCAAGAACTTAAAATGGTTGAACAAGAAACAGAAGAATTAACCAAAGAAATTCATGACTTAGAATGTCTTAATAAACAATTATTACAAGAGATGAATAATATTCTTGAAGTTTCTCATATTACACAAAAACAACTTATTGAATCATATAAAAATGAAAATCAAATTATTTCTATTGGATATCAAGCATATGAGAAAGTATTAGATCAACAACGAATTAATAATCAACTAATCCTTCCCTTACAAAAAACATTAACATGGAATCAATTATTTCAACGAAGAGAAATTGTTCCAGAAATGTCATCAATTAGTATTATCAATATAGTTAAAAATGTTTGTTATTTTTAATACTAGTGAAAGAAAGAACATAAGTTTATTTGAGTAGATTCCTATTTCATCTATTCTTGGAGTTTTATTTGTTCAAATTAAAATTTTAGCTCATATGATTAATTATCATTTCAACTCTATTATAATTGACCCAATTGATAAACAAAAGAAAACTACTACTCCTATTATTACATCAAGAGATATAACTGTAAATACAAAAAAATCCAATAAATTTGTATTACAATGTTTATTATCATTGTTAACTGAATTATCAACTATTTTAGTTAAAGAATCATCACAAAGTTTCTTTCTTATTTATCCGTTTGTTATTCTTTCTTAATTAAAAGAATAAATAAATAATAATTTGATTAGTATTTCTGGAGAAACAATCAATGGATTAGATTTTATTGGGTATGAATCTAAGAAGTGGTCTCAAGCTTTAGATTGTTTTCTAACAAATACTGAACATTGTTATAAGTGGATTATTCGGCATTACAAATAAAGGTTAGGTAATGTTGAGTGGTGTACTATGTAGTATATAATGTTAATTAATTTAAAGAAAGAGTATCAAGAAAATTGGTTTAAAAGTGAGAAGAGAGAGAAAAATAAGATAAGAAAAATAATTTATATTTATCACTTCAATTACAAAGGAAATAAACATTTTGGTTAAAAGAAATTTGTGAAGAGAAGTTTTTTATCCCAAAAAAAAAAAAAAAAACAAGAGCTAAAAATAAGAATGTTCATATTTTATAACAATGTAACAGACAAACAGACAAATGAAAATTTTTTTTGTAAAGAACTTTTTTACAGAAACTGAAAAATCACAAATTGAAAAGATCATGTCAAAATATACTCCATTTAGTAAAGAAGAAATAGCTAAATTTAAACAAGATTGTGTTGATAATAATGGATGGAAACAGATTTATAGAACAGATGATGTCATGGTATTTACACAAAAAACAGAAGGGAGTGTACTTAAATTCAAATGTATTACAAAACAAATGAATACACTTGAACCAGAATATATATTTTCAGCTTATTGTGATAGAGAATATTGTAAAACCACTAAAACTAATGATGTATTATTTGATGTTGTAGAAAAGTTAGATTGTTGTAATGAAATTATTCATAGAGTACAAAAAATGCCAATGATGGATGCTAGAGATTTTGTTTATCAATTAATCAGATATCATAATAAAGATAAAACTGATTATATACTTTATTCTAAATCAGTTGACTCAGATATTCCACCAGTAAAAGGATCTATTAGAGGACAAATGTTTGTTCAAGGAACTCTTATAACAAAAATTTCAACAGGAACATTAATTTATTCTCTTTCTCATATAGATATGAATGGAAAAATACCAAGTGCTTTAACTGGAGATACTATGGTTAAACAAATGACTAAAAAAATGATGAAAAGAGCTAAAAAGAATGTTGATGGATATCAAAAATGGGCAGATGAACATAAAGATACTAATAAATGGTGGTTAGAAACTCTTGATTGGATGATGGAATAAAAATCATTTTAATCAAAATAATAAAAGTAAAATTTAATTAATTTCCTTTTTTATTGGTTCATCAGTTATTAATGCTTCTGACGTTGCAATTAATGATCCAACAGAAATGGCTTCATTAAATGCATTTCTAACAACTTTAGTTGGATCAACTATTCCTACTTTCATTAAATCACAATATACATTCTTACGTACATCATATCCAAATGATCCTGTTCCTTCTTTAATTTTTTGAATAACTATTCCTCCATCAATTCCTGCATTTCTTGCAATTATTCGTGTTGGTTCTTCTGTAACTTTCCTTACAATATCAATTCCTACTTTTTCTGCCCAATTTTGACTACGTATTTTATCAAGTGAACTTCCTGCTCTTATTAATGCAACTCCTCCTCCTGGAACAATTCCTTCTGCAAGTGCTGCCTTAACAGCACAAACTGCATCTTCAATTCTATCTTTTCTTTCACCTACTTCAGCTTCAGATGATCCTCCAACTGAAATAACAGCAACTCCTCCTGTAAGTCTAGCAATTCTACCTTCTAATTTTTCTTTTTCATAACTTGAGTCACTAACTTCTTTAGCATTCTTTAATTCATTAATTCGTGCTAGTACTTCTGCTTTACTTCCTGCTCCCCCTGTAATAATTGTTTCATCTTTAGTAGATACAAAATGTCCAATTTTTCCTAAATCTTTTTCTGTTACTTCTTCAATCTTTTTTCCTGCTTCATTTGAGATAACAGTAGCTCCTGTAATAATACCAATGTCATGAAGAATTCCTTTTCTAGTTTCTCCAAAACCTGGAGCTCTTACTGCAGCAATTGGTAATCCTCTTAATTTATTTAATACTAATGTTGTTAATGCATCACCATCTATAGTGTCTGAAATAACAACTAATGGTCTTTTTCTTTTTAAACATAATTCTAATAAAGGAACTACACTTTGTGATGAGCTTAGTTTATAATCACATACAATAACATCTGTATTTCTTATATCTACTTTAGTATTTTTTTCATCAGTAGTAAAATAACGAGATAAAAATCCTTGGTCAAGAACCATTCCTTCAACAATATTAACAATGTCTTTTGTTCCTTTCCCTGTTTCAATATCAACAGCACCATCTCTTCCAATTTTACCAAAAATATCACCTACCATTTCTCCAATTTTTTCATCATTGTTTGCTGATACTCTTGCAACTGAAATAATGTCTTCTTTTAGTGTTGGCTTTGATTGTTTTGTAATTTCTTTTAACACTATATCTTTTGCAATTGATATTCCTTTTAATAAATCAGTACCAGATAACCCTGTATTAATAGCTTGAACTCCTTCACATGCTACTTTTCTTAATAAACATGTTGCTGTTGTTGTCCCATCTCCAGAACGATCATTAACTTTACTTGCAACTTCTTTAGCTATTTTCCCACCTACATTTAATGTATTATCACTAAATGTTAAAGCCTTTGCAACAGAAACTCCATCTTTAGTTACTCTTGCATTTCCATATGGTTGATCAATGATAACAGTTCTTCCTTTTGGTCCTAATGTTACACTCACTGCATCAGCTACTTTCTTTATTCCTGATAATACATTTTCTCTACAATCAATATTTAATGAAAGTAATTTCCCATTATAATGACTTGAAGATGAAAGCATTAAATGATTATTAAGTTATACCAGATTTAATTCTTTCAAACAACCTTATGAAAAGTTCAACTTTTTTGAACTTTGTTTTTGAAATAAAAGGTACAAATAATGGTATTTTTATTTTTATTCTATTTCATTAACTCTTTTTTTATAATAACATAATATTGATTCATTATTTTAAATATTATTATTTATTTCTCTTTTGGTATAAATCAATTTTCTCTTACATACCATTGAAACATCCAAAAAATTTGATACTCAATTATTTAAGTGTTATTAAAATTAATTTCTATTATTCTTTCTTCATCAGAACTTAATACAATTGTTATTATCAATTAAACCAACAATCTGTGTTTGATTTTGGTTAAAACAATGTTTAATATTATTCATGTTTTTAATGATATGACTTTAACTTCTTTAATATTGTCATTTTCAATTCTTTATTTAATCTAAGACTTTCAGTGTTTACTAAACTATTTTTTGAAATTACTACTGGTATTATTTATTTCTTTATATTTATTTCCATTGATATTTTGATATGAAACATTATTCATATCATTTATTAAATTGATTTTATTCTTTTTATTTCTTATTTCTTATTTATATTTTATCTTTATCTTTTCTTTTATTAATTTTATATAGTGTCAATGAATATTTCCAGTTATTTATTCTCATTATACTTAAATTTAATTCATTTATTGTTATTATGACACTATCATAATTTCTATATCTTTCATTCCACGATGTGATTTGTTTTATTTTCCAATTATCTTTATTTAATTTCACCTGTGTTTCATATAACATTTCAATATTCTAAAGTAATATCGTTATTTGGGTATATTTCATTTGTTGTTTCTTCCTTATTCTAATTTTCTTGTTAGAATCAAATATGATTTTATTTATATTGATTCTGACTATTTCATTTTTATTAAATTTAATTCTTTGATCATTGTCATCATATATTTTAGGTACTTTATTCTTTCTAGTGCTTTAACTTTTATTCCTTCTTCAACATATTCTTTTAATTTCATGATGCACTTGATTCTGTACAATTTCATTGAATATATCTTCTAGTCTATTAATTTTATTTAGGATTTCTTTTATTTCATCATTTTTATCTCTTATTATTTTATTTTGGAGATAAAAGTGCATAATCATTGAAATCCTCTTCATATCGTCTTGCATATAATCCTGCATTCTGCTTCATGATTATATCCATCTATTATTAATTTCCATTATTAATCAGTCAGCTTCTTGTCTTTGAAAGTAGTAACTAATGTTTGAACATTTTTCTACTTTCATTTCTTTCACTTTATTGATGAGAGTGTTAAGGTATTCTTCATCAATTTCTGTAGAGTTATTCTTTAATATGATGTTTTTTATTATTGAATCACACTCTACTCTTCCTTCTATTATATCATTTACTTTCATTTTAATGTATTGTTTAGTGCTTTCTTTTATTTTATGTGATATTTTAATATATTTAATATATTCATTTTCATTATTGACATTGATGTTTATTGCTTTTATTATACTTTTAATTTGTTCATTTCTTAATTTCTTATATAATTTCTTATTTAACCAATTAATTGCAAAACAATACAACAATTCATTTAAAATTCGATTTCTTTATTTCCTATTTCTTGTCTGATTATCATTATATTTTGTTTATTATTTATTATTCTTGAAGTTTGACATCTTTCATTCATTTCTTTATTTGTGTTTTTGTTTTTCATTTCTTCTTCATTTATTTTAATATCTTTTTCTTCCCAATCTTTTGTTTTTTCTTAATTTTCTTCTTTAACTTTTTCAATTATCTTTTTCTTTCTGATTGAATATACTTCTTGATGAATATCATTCCATCTTTTTCTTTTTCCTTCTTAATTTATAAGTATTTCTTCTTTTTCTCCTTTCTCTGTTTCACTTGTTATTCTTTTATTTTCTTTTCTTTATCTTTTCGTGTTAGTCATTTATATTTGTTATGGGTGTAATCTTTATTATTATTTATCTTGTTTCTTATTTGTTTTTATTTGAATTTTTCATCTTCTTATCCCTTTTTCCTTGTTATTTCATTTATCATTCATATTATGATGAAATTTATTGCTATTGACATTCATTCTCTTGTATATTACTTTGAATATTTATGTCTTGTTTGGTTTTCTTTATAACACTCAAAGATATTACTCAATAACCATAGCAACAATCGTTTGTTATATATCCTTCATAGAAAAAGTGTCGAATAACCAACAAATATGTATAAATAATTTGGAAAGATAATTTAAATCATTTATTATAGTCTTTTTGTTCCATATTAATAAAAGAAGAACAATGTTAAATTTATAGCAAAACTCAAGATTGTGTCTTTTCTTTTCAATGGAAGAAAAGAATCAAGTGTATTACTTCTATGAAAGGAAAAGTTGGATACAATTAATCAGTCAAGAAGTTAAACAAAACCTCATGAGACTTCGAATAAAGTCTAGAAAAACGAAGGAGAATCAACTAATTTCTCAATCGAGGGTTTATTGATTGTCTTCAAAAAATAAGGATTGTTATACATAAAAACCCTGTAAACTCCAACACCAGTTTAGAATGTCTTCACTCTCATCATCTAGCCATAGTGAAATAAGTCAAAAAGAAGAAAAAGAAATTGAGTTAAGAGAAAATAAAGAAATTGAAGAGAGAGTTGAAGGAACATATGAAATAGAAGAAATTGAAGAAGTTAAAAAGAAACACCCAAGTATTTTCAATTTAATATTTTTTAGAAGGTCATTTCCTCAAATTATTAAAGGAAGAAAAGGAAGTTTAAATGTTGAAGATATTGGACAAATGCCAAGTAATTTGAATATTGAAAAGTCATATGATACATTATTAAAAACATGGGAAAAAGAAACTCAAAAGAAAAATCCATCTCTTATTCGTGCTGTTATCAAAAGAGAATGGTGGCCATTTTTATTATCATTTATTGCAATTACTATTTCACAAATAGCAATGTTAATGTTTCCATTAATGCTTCAATTTATAGTTGCATGGGTAAAAGAAGATGAACCAAAGAAATGGCTTGGATTTGTATATTGTGGAATTATTTTAATTACTCAAATGATTGATAGTTTTGGGTATGAATTTTGTTGTAAATGGATATTTACTTTATCAATGAGAGTAAGAAATGGATTAATTGGGTTAATTTTTGAAAAAGCATTAAAATTAAATTCAGCAGGAATAGAAGATACAGGTAAATTAGTAAATTTAATGTCTAATGATGCACAAGTTCTTGTAGAAGGACTTCCATCTGTAATTCTTGGAGGAGCTGCACCATTAATGTTTATATTAGTATATATTGCATTAGGAATAATAGTAAAGATATGGTGTCTTGTTCCATTAGGAGTTATGGCAATATTTCTTATTTTAAATGGTATGTTTGGAAAAGGAATTGGAATATTTTATGATAAATTTGTTCATCATAAAGATAGAAGACTTGGATTTTTTGGAGAAATTATTCGTAATATTAAATTCATTAAATACAATAGTTGGGAAGAGTCAATGAAGAAAAGATTAAATAAACTTAGAAATACTGAATTAATTAGGTTAGTTTCTTTTGGTATGTTTAAAGGAGCATTAATTACATTAATGGTTGAAATTGGACCAACTATGTCATTTGCAATGTTCCTTACAATGGTACTTACTGAACAAGAATTTAAAATTGAAACTGTTTATTCATGTATGGCTATTTTTAATTGTATCAAATTACCATTTCAATCATTTGGATATCTTATTGCTTGTTTAACAACAATTAAAGTATCATTAACAAGAATAAAGAATTTCTTATTAACACCAGAATTAAAACCAATTCCTATTTCAACAAAACCAGATTCTGAATATGCTATTGAAATGAACGATGTTTGTTATAAATTTCCAGATGGAGAAACAGCATTTAGTTGTGATGAATTAAAAATTAAGAAAGGAGAATTAGTATGTGTTTTAGGTAGTGTTGGAAGTGGAAAATCATCATTTGTATTATCAATACTTAATGAATTAGAAAAAAGTGAAGGAGAATGTATTATAAATGGAAGTGTTACATATGGATCACAAACTGCTTGGTTAATGAATACTACAGTCAGAGAGAATATATGTTTCTTATCACCATATAAAAAAGAACACTATGACGAGTCTACTCATAATGCATGTTTAACAAGAGATTTACAAATATTAAGAGGAGGTGATATGTATGAAGTTGCAGAAAGAGGAGCTAATCTATCAGGTGGACAAAGACAACGTATTTCTATTGCAAGAGCATTATATAATGCAAAAGATATTGTTATATTTGATGATCCATTATCAGCAGTTGATTTCCAAGTTGGGTCATTTATTTTTGAACATGCAATTGAAAAACAATTAGCAAATAAAACAAGAATTGTTGTTACTAATCAAACATATTTTATTGATAAAGCAGATAGAATTATTGTTATTGAAAATAAGAAAATTGCATTTAATGGAAGTATTGAAGAATTAAGAAATTCCACTTTAGAAGCATCTCAATTTGTTAAAACTGTAAGTGCAAAAAAGAAAGATAATAATAAAAAAGAAGAACAAAAACAAGAAACAACTCCACAAGATGTTTGTGAAACAGTGATGGAAGAAGAACATAGAGAAAGAGGAAGAGTTGCATGGAGTGTATATGGTAAATATTTAAGATTTGGAGGTATTTTATTTTTCTTAATATGTATGATCCCATTTATAATGAGAACAGGAGCATTAGTATGTTATAATTATTTTATTTCACAATGGAGTAATGGTATTGATGATAGTCATTTACAAGGAGATACTAAATGGTTTTATGCACATTGTTATGCATATGCTTCAGAATTTATATTAATGTATATTACAATTACAGCAATGATATTGTTTGGAGCATCGGCATCAAAATTTCTTCATATGGATTTAATCAAACGAATCTTTAAAACAAAACTTGGATTTTTTGATGTTACACCATTAGGAAGAATTGTTAATTATTT